TATAGTATTAATATGAAACTGGAGATAAATCTGTTTTATCAATTATTAAATTCGATTATTTCCAAATTCATCAATCCTTTTATTAATTTTACAGACTTTTAAAGCTATATATATTTTTGAAATTTATTCCATCTTACATTTTCAATACATTTAAATACATAAAATATTGAAGATTATTTTAAAATTTCGTGATAATACTTTTCTTATGTTAATTGTTAATTATTAATATTTGTGTGTATGTAATACACGCAAAGAAAATTTAATTTTTATGTACAAATATATGTGTACAAATAATTGTTTATAAATATAAGAAAAAATTTGTACTTTTCGATCTTTTTTTTGGAATTACATTATTCATGTTATATTGATTGTAGATTTTCGCAAGAAAATCACACCATTGAAAGCAAAATGAATGTATAGACATAAAGTACTCATTTTTCGATAACTTTTGCCTTAATGCTTTTATATGCAAAATAATTAGAGAAATCATTTTATGTTAAAAAAATCATAGAATTCCATATAAAAAAAGTGGAGGTGACTTTCATATCTTTTTAGCTCCACCATCTAGAATAAAAGCAATTTGACCAAAATATGTCCCCATCAAAATCCTACAACTTTTGTCTGAAACATTTTTCTCGAAAACCCCGCGATTTCCAGATATTTAAATGCCAATTATAAAATGGGATACTCTCTATTTTACTGATATTAATTTTTGCGCAATAATTACTGTGCCGATTTCCACAAACCTATGATATTTTAAATGTTGATTAAATCTGGGAATCCTGTAAATTAATTGTTTATTTTTCTATATTAAACTCTTTAAATTTATGATAATTTATGATTCCTTTGTTTATGTGATTGTACGTTTAATAAATATTTTCTGTCGTAAATACGCATATTGCAGCGAGAAAAAATAGAATTAGAATTCAAACGCGACAGCGATGACCGCGACATCGTCGAAAGTCAATCACGTTCAATGGAGGAAAAATCGCCGCTGCGATAATAATAATAACCGCGCTCCCCCCCTCTCCTCATTTCCCACGTCCACCGCATCTAATTACTTGACATGTGCGCGAATCTGCCAGCGAATTCCGCACGTTTGCATTCAGAGTGCGCCTTATAACCGTTCGAACAAATTCGCGGATTATTCAGCGCGGCATAGCTCTCTCTCTCTCATTCGTCAATTTCCATGTAATTGACGAATGAGAGCATTTCATGCTGATTCCCTTGAACAGCAGTTGGAGTTTCTGCGCAAAATCATTAAACGCGCACACAATTGCGTTTTGCGCGAATCCGGACGGTGCAATGAATAATGGAGGGAGGAAAGAGTAATTTTCGGTAACGATACAAAATGATACGAAACTTACGCGGTTGTATTATGCTAACAATAAATTGCAATCGCAAACATTCTAAATAAAGAGTGATTATCCTTTTATTTACGACAGTTTGTCTACGACAGCGACGACTTTTAACTGCAAATTGAAGATTTTCATTAACATTTAGTATAGCGTTTAGATAAGCGTTAGATTTTGCGGTAAGTAAAACGCACTGTATGAAACACAGACAATCATATTTTCAAACAAGACCGATACATGCATGCAATAAATAATGAGGGGAAAAGAGCCAAGAACGCAATTATAACTTAAAGTTAAAATAATATCTATTAAATTTATCTTTATTCAATGATGATGCCACAAACATCTTAAATTTAAGATGCTTGTTAGCACATCATAGATAGTTGAAATTTCAAATGATTTAAAAATTAAAAATATTATTGGCAACCGACATCTAGCTTTGGTCATAATTGGCTCTTTTACTCTCATTATTTATAGATAATCATGTTATATAAAAAGACGAATATTATTTTATTTTATACATATAATTTTGTTCAAAAGCAGAGATGGATTGTGTGCAAGTCCGTCTTTTTGTACGTTTATTTATTTAATTTATTCAAATTTGATTTGATAACGCAAAGTAATGTAAAAAGTGTCGAAACAATAAAGAAATGGAAATATTATCTTAATTAATTGCAGCTATAAGCCCCTTTTTTAATACATCCAACAATAAGTTTCACTCGCAGCTACAATAAGAAAGAGCGAATATAATTTTATTATGACTTTAGCACGAATCGATTGACGACGTCGAACGTCATCGCGATCGCATAAAACATTCAATACGCGATAAAAGTCACGTAATAAAAATTTCCATCCTGCGAGTGAAGGCGCGCAAATACGACGAGTTTTAACGAGCGCACATAATTCCCATCCAACTATAGGTAAGTCAAACGTAAAAACGGGTAACTATCTTCTTTTTATAAGTAAGAATCGTAGATTCTGATCGAATGTGCACGTGCATCTAAGAGCACCACGCAGAGGAAAACGCGCCTGGAAAATTGCTTGCACAGCTATATCACGTAAACCAGCGACTCGCAATCGAAAGCTCGCTAAGTGCGATACAAATTACAATCTCATAAACGTGTCTATTTTAATTCGCCCAAATAAGCGACATACCTAATATCTCGAATATCTTTTCGTTTTATGCGAAACCAGTTTTAAAGGCTCTCTCCGAGCCTCTATAAAAAAGTATTGCTTTTCGAGGTAAGACTGGTTGAGAACTATCGAGGCAGAGAATGGTCTTTGTAGTCGGACTACACAGTGCAAGTTGCATACAGGTTTAATCAAATAGCAGCTATACGCTTAGGCAGTAAAACGGTTTATTATTATATCTCCGGTATCGCGACTCGAACGCAACAAAGACATCGGCACATTATTAGTTACGCTTGCATTACTGTAAAACAGACGCGTTGTATTGTTTTGGTCATACCGGAGTACGCTCCGTTGAAATACGCTTGTTTAACGATTCAGTGATGCCGTAATAATTTCCGATCGCTATGCACGCATAGCCACGTAGTCTGCACTCTTAACAGAAATTATCGAATAACATCAATCTCGTAACTTTATTAGATCGTGCCAAATTCTTGAAAAAAGAACTCAAAGAAATTTTGAAAAAGAGGAAAATAAATTCGTTATCGTGTATATTATCATCAATCTTGACATACTAATCGGCAACCTAAGGGCTGCCCTCGCGCGATCGTTATTTAACATCATCCGCTTTAAACTAACGCTGGCGAAGCAGTATTTCACGTAGCATCGAAATTTCGCCGGCAGAGAAATCCCATTTTCCTTTCGGATTTACAATAAGAGGCACGAAATAATCAGGTCGGGGGGTGGTTTGTTACGGAAAAATATCTGTTACGCATACAGTACGTGCCCCGAGATGCAACTCGCGAGCGGTATTCCTTCGGGAATTCAGCTGGATGAAAAGACCACCGCTGAAAAGGCGGGTGGACGCCGGCTGGGTCGAACCTCGGCGAGGAATTGAATTACGTTTCGCTAGAGCCGGCATAACAAAAGGAAGATAATGGCCGGCGGTAAAATGGTACATCAAGCGTAGCTGATACCAGGGATGGTCTGCCTGCAAATTACAGGCGTATCATCCCGATCTTCTTCGTTCCTCTATTTCTATTTACGATACTTCACGTTGATCAGCTCGATCAGAGCTGACTATATTTACAAAAGAAAAAGTAATTTTTCTTTACAAGTTCTTTTTTATCAAAATTTATTTTATATGTTCCTTTTCCCTATCTAACAAAAAACTAGCAAAGCAGAAAATCCCTTGAAATTGCATTAATATAAAAAGTGTGGAAAAAAGATAACGCGATAATTCGATGAATAAAAATTAAAATATAACCGTTTTTTAACTTTTTTTTACTATTTAAATTGACATCAAAGTGCAACGTTTAGAAAAACGTCTAATTGCGATAAGATTGTAAATTTTCTCTCTCTCTCTCTCTTCCTCTCTGAAACAATGTTGTTTAATTATATAAAATTATATTTTTATAAATCTTGTAATAATTATTTTAAGATACAAATAAATTAATTATAAAGTTATTGAAAAACAGACTGACATAATAAAAATGTTTTTCTATTTGTAACTTAATTGATCGCAATTTTCTCAGCCACGAGGCAGTTAACGATGACCGAGAATGGTCGGGGGTTTTCTCACAATCGACTGTAATTCGAGTTCGATCGCCTATGAGGCCACCAGAGAACCCGCTTTTTAAACGGTCTGCACGTTCTGCCTTTCATCTTCGCGAGTCTTCCTCCGCTAGATATTACGCTTTTTTGCAGACCCGGCCAGAAAACGCGATGCCGCCGGCGATATCAGACTATTTTTATACGTCGCCAGACGATCATAAGGCGAACGGAAAAACGCTTGCGAAAAACAACAGTTACGAGGACAATAAGCCGACAACGTGCGTCGTGTGTATGATTTACGTACAGCTCATTAAATTTTTTGCCCGGTTTCTTCAGGGTAAATGGAATTTTCGATCATTTCGATAACATGACGTACTTATAATTAAAAAATTATCACGCATGTGCGATAAAATATTTGATATAATAAATAAGATTCATGTTACATTGCCATCAAATCTGAGCAGAGTAAACATTTTATTTTATAAACTCTTTAGTTCTTTACTTTTCTTTTTTTTTGTAAAAAAAACTTCTCTGATATTTATTCAATACGAAGGTAAGAGTAGAACAGAAATAAAATAAAATAAAATTTGCCTTTATACGTGTATATGTGTGTGTGCGCGAGCCCGCGTAAAATAGAACACAATCAATTATTGACATCAAAATTGATCGATGAGAGAACAGCGGCCACTTAAATTTAATTTACTTAAGCGATCGAGAATTGAAATTTATTTCGAACGATCCGCGGCCCGAAGTATCGCTTTAATTTTAATTTCCTGCACGCACGCGTGCGGAGAAGATTAAATCGTCAGTAAAAGGATACGCCATGCGTGAAAGGGTTAATGCACTGTGATAAACAAAAGGCCGGCATCACGTGTATCGCGGCGACCTCGGGATAAGTGATCGACGCATGTACAGGGATTATCTTGTCGCGTGGATCAGTTATGGCATTTCTGACGGACTTACCATTGATCACGTGCACGTTGACACTCGCTCCCTCCGCCACGGTAGGAACGCAACTGTAGTTTCCGGAGTCACTGGGCTTCGCATGCGTGATCCTCAATCTGCCGCACAAAAGGTAATATAGTTTATCGTTACGTTGTACGTGGAACGGTGTACATTACAATGCATATCTGATTTATGTAGCCGTCATTAAATCGGTCACGGTACAATGCAATATATGTATATAATATATAAAACGCATAATATTATGACATAAGATTTGAAAATTTCTATAGGTAACAATAAAGATCTGTTTCTGTAATACAAAAAATGCCAATTTCGAATCTCTTGCTGTCACAAGAGAAATGCTACGAAGCTGCATCGTTTTTACACACGTTGTACATAAATATGCATTTAATTGTATTAGTAATGAATGCTGAGCATTTAGGTAACCAGGTAAGGGCTCATTTTTCATTTCGTCTTTTTTTTCCCCTGCTAAACAGTTTATCTGTGCGTAGCGCATGTCGGCTTAATTAAAAATGTGACTTAAATTAAAATCGGAGAGTATTAATCTTAATCAAAGGGGAAAGGATACAATGAAAGGAGCAGTGATGTATACGGAGTCAGAAAATTACTACTCGGTCGTTAGGGATGCCATATATGGAAGTTAGCTCTTTGAAGCTTACTCGGTGAATGATTCTCCTTCGTCTCGCTTGCTATCAAAGAAAAGCCATTTTCCGATATGAAAATATAAAATTCTCTAGAAAATGACAAATGTAAAGTAATAAATATAAAATTGACAACGAATATGAATATTTTCGTGTATAAATTAAATAAGAAAATTAAATAAGAAATTAAATAAGAAAATACATAATTCTGCTATTTTTAGAATAAAATTCATTCTAGAGAAACTTCATGTGCATGATGTTTCAAAACTATCACTAACTATAACTATAATATTAACTAGTTCTTCATTTTAGTAATCGGCCTATCATCATGAAATAATTTCGCTTTATTGTGGAATATTTAAAAGCATTCATGAAATTTGCAACGTGATCATTATCGCGCTGCGTATGCGTTTCTACATAATCGTTTTGATGTCGCGTACGTTAAGCGGCATATAGTTTCAGGATAGTATAAAGTACAGGATCATATAAAATAACTAATGACACAACTAACAATAAACTATCGTTAATATAGTAATAATTATCCGCAACGTTATTAGCGACAGCGGTCCAATTACCTATTCTCCTCTCGGTACAGTGCATCATACATATTTTTGCGGAAGGTATCTCTGATATGCATGACGCAAATTTCATTATTTTCACGATCTCTAAATGCGATCTAGAGATACCTCTGCATTATTAATTAGACTGTGCATTATACATATAAATATAGCCAGTAAAATAAGTATGCAGTAAATGTACAGAAATTGCATATATCAAGAATATATTAATTATACTTATTAATTATATTTATTATAGGATTACCAAACGATAATTGATAATATATGTATAATAATATATTATCGTTCTAAAAAAATGAGAAATGTAATTGCTTTGCTGAAATTTATTTCAATTTGTAATAACGAAAATACTATTAATTGCGAAACTGATGTGAAATGGTAATTATTTAATAAACTGTAGAATCTCTTTCTTTCATTATAATTTCTATTATCTTATCGAAAAAATTTGTGATAATTATCTTGTCGCATGATGTGTTTGCAGATATTAATTTTTATAGCCGCGTATCGTAACAGTATCGTCAGTTTCTCTCACTTGGAGTTTGCACTGCGTTCGACCAAACTTCAATCAACTCGTTCAACGGTAATAATCGAGAAAGCTGGAGAGAACGGAGTATTTTTTTCTTGTTCCGTTTTGTTTGTTAGACATTCGTTACTGTTACGCGGTAAATTGAATTGATCGGATCGATAGAAATCGGAACGGCTCGAATTTTCGCGGCGTATCATGTGGCAGGCTTTTGTGAATGCGAGAACGTAGTTCCTCAAATATGAATATTGAATCGATCTGAACGCAATACAGAGAGAAAGAGAGAGAGAGAGAGAGAGAGAGAGAGAGAGAGAAATTGCACCCGGGCTCGCGACGTGGAGACGTATTAATAAACTGCACCGGTCGCGTTGCGCTAATCGCGAAAGGGATAAACACGTAATTACGCGCGCGAGAGATAAAGTCGCGGACGTGTAAAAGTTAATCGACAGTCGGCCAATTTAACGGCAAACTAGCTGGAAAAGCGGCCTGAATATGCTCCAAATGATTTCCATCGCGTCAAGAGGGAATTCCTCTCGCGATTGTTTGTTGATCGAATAAAAAATTACTCGAGACTTTTCGCATTTTTATCGCTTCAAGTTTTTCAATGATTATCTTTGTTAAACTTTCAATTTGAACATACTGAGGAGGGAGAGGGGGGGGAGAAAGAGTTCGCGGAGATTTAACTTTAGGTACGCGTCTTTCTCAGCGACCGCGAGAGGAGAGATAGATATAAAAGTTTGAGAAAAGTTTTAATTAATAATTGTCGGTATAGACTTGTCGATTACAAATATTAATAGTTATCGCCTACCGTTAATTATTCTCACTGGGGCGTGGGGCGTCTCTAATACTCGCGTGCTGTTGGTTATCGTTTTTAGATAAGAAGCGACATACACACCGTTTTGCCCGGGTATACGTTATACAGGATACACGTGGGCAACAGGGATATCCGTTGCACGATATATAACGTCACGTGAAGAAGTTGCGCGGCCGCTCCCAACAGATTATCGATTACTCATTTACTTCCCGTATTTCAGTAGTTAGCTTCATCGCGCAACGTCGTAATGCATCGCACTCGTGGGACCAATAACCGCCGCTTAAGGCCACGATAATGCTTGTCCCGCATGCGGTTACCGCAATTCCGTGAACTGGATGTACCGCGAAATAATTATTGCGATGCCGCCGGTGCTGCCGACGACGACGAGCCATAACGGGCGTACTCCGATGGAGTCCGAGGATAATGAAAACGTATAGCGACACCGGACTAAGCTCCTCGCCAGCGCACCCCACCGCCTTTGGACAGTGGAAAGGTAATCTCGACGCGGCGGAATAAAACGATATCCGGTTGCACGTTAATATTATCGAGAGCGCGAACGATTTATGCACGTGGAAGTTTCAGGATTGAAATTCAGGTTCGCAGATTACCTCCTCGCTTTAATGTGAAATTTGAATATCTCTTTATAAATGTGAGTAATGTATTTACTATTCTGTGAAATATGTTTGCGAATATTATTACCAAATAATATACTGTTCACATAAACACCTCGTTTTATTCTATCTATAAATTGAAATTCGATTGATATAGTAAAGGAGTGCGAATTGATAGAGAAAATTCATTTTATTCATTTAAAAGAATTTAAACGACAAATTTTTCTTTTCACCAAATGTAAATGTTAATGTTAGGTGTAAATGTTAACAAACACGTAATCGCGTGCGAAAATATAGGTCACATCGATAGACACGATCGCCCCAGGAACGTTTCGCCGTTACTTCGAGACAGTCGCGTCGAATTTACCGAAAGCGGACGTGTGCATGACGGAAGTCGCGGGCCCGGACAGCTGCGCGACAATTAATTCGCTTCTTGGGCCGCGGCCCCGTAAATTTGCCGGCGCGGTGTGTAACGGCATCGCCGTGACAATCGTCAATCACGTCCAAAAACGGACGCGCGACGTCGCGCGGCGGACACAACGGCGACGATGGCGACGGCGCGGCAATATTCGGACCGACACAAGCGACCTGGCTGAACAGCCGGGTCGCCCGAAATGCGGAGCATGTCCGATGCGTCTTCACGGTGCGCGGGCCACGTGACAAAGGACCCTGTTGTCTCGGATCTGCCCGGGACAATTAGAATAATCAGACGTCATACGACGCGGCGCCACGACGCGGCGACTCGATGTCTGCCCTCTCTGTCTGATATCTATCGAGTAATTCCAGTGGATAACTTTTATCCCGAATTAATTTCTCGAGGAAAAAAAATGAGACATAAACAATAACCGTAAAGTCACATAAAGTGACTGCTTTTTTTCGTACACGGAAAAGAACGATTTTGTTGAAAGGTCTAAAAATTTTGCTAAATACACTGAAAAAAGTAATCTTACAATTATAGCGAGAATTATCTAGGTACGAAAAATTAGCTAAAACGGATAAGTGATTAGTAGGCACTGCTATACCACATATGTTTTAAATTTAATCAATATGGATAATAGAGACAGAAATTAAATCTGAACTATTTGTCAAATTTAGCAAAAAAGTTCCTCTATGACGTTTAATCAGTCCAGACTCCAATCCACACTCCAATCTTATTTGGCTATGAGACCTATATTTTCTTGTATATATTCTTAGAATATTGCTGCTATAAATTCTACGTATGAGCGATGTAATTTAAGTGTAATATTTAGAATTCTGGCTGGAACAGCGAAACATTTTCCTGAGTGATACAGATCTGAAAATAATTCTTGTTTAATCATCAAAATAATTTGTTGGAAAGTTAAAAATTATAAGCATTGTTATAAAACGTTTTGATGTTCTAGCAATCATTGTGACTTTCCAACAAAATTATTTTGATGATTCAATAAAAAATTATTTTTAGATCTATTTTTAGCAAAATTTTTAGACCTTTCAACAAAATCATTCTTTCCGTGTATGTATGTTATTCATTTTATAATTCATTTATCTTATTTTATATTTTATTTTAAATTTCTTATTTTTAATATTATATTTTTATCACATATATCTACATTGCTATTTAGTGCAATAATTATGCGCAACACCTATATAAATATCCTAAAAATTGTATGGGTTTACAGCAAACTTGAAGCATTTCAAGTTATTGAATTAACATTCATATTATTGAGGGCGTAAACGAGTAGATTTTAATGGAGGGAATAAATTTTCCGTCACCATTGTCACCACCAGCGTGAATGCATAGGCGGTGTGTACGTATTGCGCGTTTTTAAGGCGGCCCCATAGAGCCACGGGTATCTCTCGAAATAAATTAATTTGAGCGTGTGGGATCAGTTTTTCAAAGGCGCCACGACGACGTGTAGGACCGGCGGGACAACCACCCAGCACGCCATTATTTCTCATTATTTCCCCTGGGCGCGGGAGGGGATAAGCGGAGGACCATTTATTTATTTCGCCGGCAGCTCGAAAAAGATATGGCTACGCCGCGTGCGCGATGAAATATCGTACGCGCGACGGACGCGCTTCGATGAAAAGGACCGCCGAGACAAAAAAAAATGTGCTTTGACGGAGGAACGACTGAAACCAATCGCGCCTGTGATGAATATTTACCACGCTTGATGAAGTCGCAAGGAGAGAAAAAAAAGTAGTTTAACATGATTGATATTACATGTTAATACTTCATGACGTTTTTCCAGCTGCTCGTCGGCCGAGCTTATTTCAGCGCGGCGTAAGCGTGTTATCGCGTTGCGAGCCCTTCACTGAACAATTTTACAAAATTGCGGCGTGCATATTCGTTCAGCCAGGGCGCGCCCTGCCCCCGGTCGAGCGTTGTAGGGTCCCAGCGTTTAAAACGCGCCGCGCTGTGACAAAGATTGAAATATTTAAACTGCGTTAAAATGTGACGGCCGCAAATATACGGCCGCGCGTGATCCTTATTCTTTATTTATTCGACGTATCCGCCCGGGCTGGTCGCCGCGGTGTAAAAAATTAAATAGCACTTCGTGTATAACAATATCACGCGGTCGTGCGCGTTTATGAGAGTTTTCCTCCGTGCGAAAGCGATGACTCTGAATGTGCGACAAGTATGACGAGCTTTTTTTTTTACATTTTGTTCATAGCGCGCAAACGAGTTTTGCGTTAACTAAGTTTTTGATATTTAAAATATAAATCGTAGTGCGCGCTGTCGCGAGAGAGAAAGCGAGAGAGAGAGAGAGAGAGAGAGACGCACTGGCGCGAGTAAACGAGATTTATTTAATGCTTACAATTGATCATATTAACCAATTTTTTTTAATTCGTTTTTTTCTCCATATTACATGCAAAGCGAAATTTTGTTATAATTATTGTTGAAAATATTTTTAAACTAATTGTGAGTTTTATTTAGAAAGCAAATGGCTCAATCACTCATTCGTACCTCGACGTGAGGGCGTCGCTCCATTCCGTCTCGACGACTATGCGGGGCTCCGTTTCGATGTCATTTTCTGATCGCGGCGATGTCACCACCGCCTGACTTCCTCGGTACCAAGCTACCGTTCCCAGATCGTGGGGACCTTGCGACATGAGACACGTCAACGTCAGAAGACTTCCGGTCTTCACGTAGATATCCAGCGGGCCGAGTATTCTGGCTCGCGCTTCTGCAACAGAAAGCAATTTTGCGTTAAAGAATGGCGTAGTTTCTACAAGAGTGTCGCTTAACTTTAAATATCGATTAAAGATTCGCTCAGGAAGACTCACGAAACTCATGTTTAGAAACATCTTGCGCATGCCTGCAGTGCACGCGCTTGATTAAACATCGCCGCACCACCTGCTTCTCTTCACGGAAAACATCTCGCTGCGATATTGTCCATCGCGCGAGAGATTTTTGCCGCTCACGTAGTGCGAATTGTAATTTTACGAGACACGGCGAAACGCAAACGCATAAAACAGCGACGTGCGCGGGCAAAATAAATCGGCGGAGAGACAGTTTTAATCATCGGGCGTTCGTTTGCGCGAGTTTACACGTGTTGCGCCGAACACTGTTCGATAAAGCTATATCACGATGTAATAAAAGGTGCGTGATTAAGTTGAAAAAAATTGATGGCGAGCCACAGATACGGGCGTTATTGCTGGTGCAGCGGTGTCCGATTAAAAGCATCGATAATTGATAAAACACGGCCGATTACTTGCAAGCGATTTTATAATAGTTGACGAGAGAACATTTATATTCATTTAGAAATATTCATACGAATATGGTACATCTGTAAAGTCGTACAGGCCAAATAAATAGTATTTAGCCTTTGCAGTAGGGTCTCCCGCGATATTTTAACGTAAATTCGCACACAGCGTTCAAATCTCTATCTTTATATTTATAATAAATCGTAGCTTTTTAACATTGAACATCGAACAGCGATCGATTTGCAATCGCATCGATGCATCATCTGCATAAAGAGGCGCTCTAAAAAACGACGACGGTGCAACCCGATGATGTTCGATCGATAAGTCACACAGCACGACTGTCCACCTTTCATACGGTGAATTCTCCTCGTCACGGTTGGCCGTTCGGGTTTTATATCACATTGCGATGATCGGGCGCATTCTTGCCGAGCTGTCATCCCGAGTCATAGAACCGGGCGTCTCGATTCTATCGCAAGCGGCAAAATGGATGTGTCGAATTTGAAGAAGACGCGTAGCTTGGCCTTGCGAACTGATAAAAAGGGGCATTCAAAGGCAAACCGTCATCTTCACGAGAAACGACCAACTTTCGTTATCGACGCCACAACATTACTAACTCTGATACGCCGATATTAAATCGA